GAGTACCCCACAGGGTCCGGAGTACCCCACAGGGTCCGGAGTATCCAGCAGCACCCGAAGTACACCACAGGGGCCGGAGTACCCAGCAGGGCCCGGAGTATCCAGCAGGGCCCGGAATACCCCACAGGGGCCGGAGTACCCAGCAGGGTCCGGAGTATCCAGCAGCACCCGGAGTACCCCACAGGGCCCGGAGTATCCAGCAGCGCCCAGAGTACCCCACGGGGCCCAGAGTACCCAGCAGGGCCCAGAGTACCCCTCAGAGCCCAGAGTACCCAGCAGGGCCCAGAGTACCCCTCAGAGCCCGGAGTATCCAGCAGCAGGCTGGCCGCCACACCGCCACTAACGTGCTATTTATACGCGGCTCAGCCAGTCTGGCTCGCTCTGCAGCGTCTGTAGCGCAGGGCTTCTCTGCGACCGGCAGAGACGCTTTCAGGGGTCTGGGCAACACGGAACACATTTCTGTGTGTTTATGTTTACTGTGTATTCGTGAGGTGGGGGGGTGTTGGCGGAGTAATTTGAGAGATTCATGATTCTTTTATGGCTCCGGTTCTCTCTCTCTTTTTGGCCGTGGCACGTCTGCGGTGGGGGTGGAACCCAACGAAGCAGGACGCTGTCATGACAGGCCCTCTTTAATTATTCAGAGGCCGCTAGGCACAAGACTCCGCTCTGGTGGCATCTAAGTCTGTCTGTGTTTGTCTTCCTCGTCGTGTCTTTGCTTTAGAGTCACAGGGCTTCTGTTTACATTCGGTTTAGTGCCGGGAAATCCTCTCCTGGTCGCTGCTGGTCTCTGGCAGCCCATACAAGCCGCCTTTCCCAGGACAAATGGCGTCACTCTCTGTGGGGTGATGGGCTCTCCCTCCTCGGAAGCGGTCAGTGGCCACCAGGGCATGGAGCGGCTTTCGGGGGGAAGGTCAGGCTGAGGGGACAGGGGCTGTGTGACAGAGTGAGGGGGGGGGGGTACTGAAGATTTGGTCTGCGATGAGCAGTAAGAGAGAGCAGAAATAACCAGGGGGACTGTTTCAGAATATCTCTGCAGGCCCATTGGCCCCTCCTACGCCCACCCCCGGCCCTCCACCCCACCCCCTACAATCTCGCTGTGTGGTCTGCGACAGAACCACCAACTGAAGCTGGATCAGGGTGCGGGGGGGGGGGGGGGGGGGGGGGGGAGCTGGGAGTCCACAGCTGCAGCCAGCGTGAGGTCTGGCAGCACGGGGAGCTCCACCCACATGCTTACCCATGATGCAGTGCAGCGAGCCACACTGAGAAACACTCCACAGAGCAGCAAGGCCCCCGACACTCACACCAAAGCAGTCACACTGAAGTCTACGTGGAGGACTGCCCTGCCGCCGCTTCTAGGTCATGGGGGTGGGAACCTTTTCCCACTGAGGTACAGGGGGGGGGGGGCAGACTTTGCTATCTGGTCCCTGAAGCTCTGATGTCCTGCCAGCACCAGGTGGGCCAGGCCTGGACCTCCAGGTCCACACCACACATGAAAGTTCTTACAGAGACGAGTGTGATAACCTCCCTCTCCGCCCCGACCCATCAGAAACATCAAAAACATCCTCACTCAAACTTTCCGACCCCCCCTGGCACCACCTCTCACCCCCCTCCGTGCAGATGTGATTACTCCCCTGAACAGCGACCCCCCCCCATCCCCCAAACATCAGATGGTTTCAATAAAGGATGTATTTCTCTGTGAAGGACTTTAGGCTGCCGAGTCGGTCTGGCCTTCAGCTAATTACAAAAGGCGTTTCCCCCCCCCTCTTTGGGTCCGGCACCGTGTGGGTCGGTTCGCAGGACGAAGGGAGGCTCCCAGGCTGAGCGGGGTCCAAGGGTCACCCCCACCTTCTTTGCTTCTCTGCTGTTAGGTATTTGAAACGTAGTGTTGTTTATTAGTTTCGCCTCACTAAATGCCCATCTTTTGTTTAGTTTTTGTGTGATAAAGTGGATTTCTCAAATGAAGCATAGTGAGATTTCTCAAGCGGGGAGCTGCAGCCTTTAAACATGCCTTTCAGCATTCACAGCACCCAGAAAGTATTTAGCCCACTCCCTGTAAACAAGCAAACAAATACCTTAAGCAAACACATTCGTGAACCAAAAAAAATGTGGTCAGATGCTATTAGGAATTTTTGTTTTCTTGCTACCCCGAGATCACTTGGCAAATTTTTGGATCCCAACCCCGCCTTGATCCGTCACTCACAAACCATGTTGTTTAGATTAGTTGTTTGCTGGATCTGTCACTCCTGCTGTGAGGGGACATAAATATAATGTCAGACAAACTCGCTAACGAGGGCCTTCATTTGGATCCACCAACCGGGGGGGGGATGAGCTTTCTGGTTGAGCCCCTCCTTGGTATGAAAAGGGGAATGGCAGGCGGGAATGTGCCGTTGAGTGTTGAAGGTGTGCATGGTACTGGTGGATCAGAGTCAATAATGAATTATAGAGTGATATTTTACACGGATATTCTATACCCTGTTTCCAAGGTCACCAATAAAACATTCAGAACCTCAGCCTTCTGCAGCGGCTGCTCCAAGGACGCGCTTTGGACCAGAGGCAGGGGCTCGCCACTCTGATACTTTCCAACTGCACTGTCACTTCCAAATTTTGTTATTTTTTTATTTTTTACAGAACCCTTAAGAGTTTCCTGCATCTCAACAGGCCATGGGAACTGGACTGGAGAGAAGGACCCGTTTGTGGCTGATTGTCTGCCTGATTCCTGTCCTCCTGCATGGTGAGAGGAAGAACATGTCGTTCTGAAGTGTGATAGAGGCCTCGTTTCGGTAAAGCTGGGGGAGCCCCACCTCCTCCATTAGGATCGAGCTTCAGAATAGGCTTTGCCTCTCTCAGAGTGTGCTGTTCACGGGCTGATCCTGCTCATTTCTTAACCACCTCTAGGCTTTGAAATCCCTGAGCCAGAGGAGGTGAAATACTTCTGGTCCAAGACCAAAGGCGTGGTGGGCCGATCGGTGGTGCTGGGTTGTGGCTCCACCCTCCCAGATGTCTACATCTGGGGCTATACCAGGCCAGGAACGAAGAGCAACCGAGCCGTGGTCTACAACTACGGCCAGGGCCCCAAGGTACAACCACTGGCTGACGACCTCGGGGAGCTGAGTATCACCCCCAACACCTCATCCCTGACCATCAAGGGTCTGCCCCAGAAGGCACAAGGGCTCTACACCTGCCAGGCCCTGTACGACACAGACAAGGGACCCAAGGTGAGCTTCTACTCTGTCCAGCTGGACGTTCTGAATGAGACAGAGGCTCAATGAGGCGAGGAAATCCAACACATCCCCATGGACCAGACCATCCACCAGAGATGACTTGACTTGAAGAACAAGACTAACTTCCAACCTGTCCAGATACACTGCCCAAGGTGGTGCCCACGAGGAGAGCATTTCTTGGGTAGCCCAAGAAACGGGGCAGATAATGAAATCTCGAACGTTACCTGCTCTGGTTTCAGACGTCCTACGGGTCGTCAGCGAAAGCCGAGGCTACGGGACTTTCCCGTTATTAAAACGATCTGTGTGGCTTCATATTCATGCCTGTCTGCTTCCATTTACACAACCCTCTTCTCCTTTGCTTTATTTGACATTTGCAGGCTATGAATCTTCAGTGCTTCAGTTATCCTGATGACTTTTACCATAAAAAAACAAAAATAAAAGCCGCAAGTTCTCAAACGCGTCTGGAACCCATTAAAGAAGCTACGAGTTTGGGTTGTCCATTGTGTTGCGATGATACAGCCTCGTATTACAATAGTTTCAGCATTGACCACATCTTTCCTCTCCTCACCTTGGACTGTTTCCATCAGAGAACAAACACATTTGTCGGCCGTAGCCATATCAAGTTTCAGTCCAGGACAAACAATTTCAGCAATACGTTTATTACGATGAGTCATTCTTCTGCAGTCAGGAAGCCATTTGACTGAAATGACATTGTGGAATTTGCCTTGTTTTCACTGTTTGGTCACATAATGGAATTTTACAAATTGTGTGGTCACAGATCCTTGAAGCCAGACTAGGAAGAAAAACAGATAAACAGTCGAGTTACACAAATGACTTTCGGCTGCTGTAAAAGAAGCGATGGAAGGAGAATGTTCTGCAGTGAACGAGCATGTTCGAGTCACGATTATGCCCGAGGGGTCACATTTTGACCCAAGCGAATCTATATGTCATATGGTCACTGACCCAAAAGGTGACCAGCGGCCTGCAGCCAATCATAGACCCGGGTAACAGTTTTGATTTCACAGCCTGGGATCAGACCCAATCCCACCTGTGTCCGCCGTCATTTGTGTTAGCCCCATGCTATCCCTCCGAGACCCGATTGTCGACGCCCACAGTCACAGTAAAACATTTACACAGGAACGATCACATCATATAGAACGAGATGTGAAAACGTGACACGCTGAGTCGGCGAGTGGGCGCCGAAATTTCACCGTCCTTTTTGCGTCGGGATAAAACAAAAATAGAAAGTCTCTCTCTTCCATAGTTTATCTTTGTATTATTACAAAACTTTACACGAGGGCTAAAATCCACACTTTATGAAAAACACAATGAAAAACAAAAAATAAAAGGATTTTTCATCAAAAAGCATAAATAATATAAAAGAAACTTTTTTCTTAAAACAGATACATTCATATGAAATTATATTTTACTACTACAAAAAAATAAATAGGGCATCTAAAAGGTTTTTGTTCTTTTAAAAAAATCCCCTCCCCCATCTGTGGGTTCCGGTCCTGGTATGGTACCCCCTCCCACTCCTCCCTGTCCTTAGCTCACAGTCTGTGTCTCTGCCTCTGATCCCGCACGGCCAGGGAGCTCTCCTTCCTTGGTCCCCTGGCTCCCGCTGTGTCACTCAGCGGCCTGCAGGTGGCGCCCTGCACAGCCACTCTGGTCCAGCTTGGGCAGATCCCGGCTCTCCCAGCAGCGCAAAGGGTCGTCCGCCCCCCCGCAGCGACTGCCCCGCTCTGCCGACCAGAGAGAAGCGCTCGTTCATGTTGACAGACACAGGAACCCAAGCAGCTCACGGCTATGCCTCCTATAAGTACCAGAACTCCAGTCTTACACTGGAACATCTCAACATTCTCTAACAAGTAACAGCACTGAGGGTCACGTTGCAGCAGAAACAAGACCTCTGCTCACTTTAGTCTTTCCTCAGTGAAACTTGCCAGCCCCTCACACATGCATCATTTTGAACCTTATTTTGTTTGCATATTTAGCAAAAATCACCCACCAGGGGGCGCTCCGACTGAGACCGCAGATCAAAGAGCATTTAACCGCGGATCTCTTTCCACCCACCTCCCTCCTTTGATGACTGACAGCAGGAATTCTGGGAAGAGGGTAGAGTCGCCTGGGCTTCGTCTGGCTCCCCCACACTCCCTCGGTCGCCCTCCCTGACATGCCATTGGCTGTCGGGGCCGTTGGTGGGCGGGGACATGTGAGCCAGGGGAAGTAGCTCCAGGCCGTCCTGTGCGCACGGCGAGGCACGGTGAACGATGGGGTGAGTGCCCCCAGGGAACGCTCCGTTGGCTTTGGTGTAACACCTGGGCGGGGGAGGGAATACAGGGTTACACTCCGCACATTTATCAAAAATAACCGCACGATAGTCATGAACTGTAGGGAACGTGCACGGGTGTCACTCAGCACACAAAGATGAGCACAATCGCACAAACAGCACGTAACACCCCCGGTCTCTGTCGGGCAGAACAGAAGGGCACCCCCTGCTCTCAAACCCCCTCACCCCACCCCTGCTGTTGCCCATGGCATTCCCGGCTTGACTAAACTCCGCGCAAATGGCTCCTTTGCTGTCACGAACTTTACAAGAACAGCCCTGAAAAATTTTCCATTCATAAACAGAAAAAGCAAAGCACAGCAGCAGGTTACACCACCCCCCCCCTTAACCCCCGCCCCCCAAAATCCCTTTGGTGTATTCAGACATCTGCAAACCCCCCCACCCCCCATGCCAAGAGGTAAATAAACACAAGTCTCATTAGGGTTGCTGGCTCAGTGCAGTCAGTATAAATTGTTAGTTCTGGACCCACTACAGTACATAAACAAGGGTGATGGGGGTGGCGTTCCTGGGGCGGGTGTCCCCTGGGATACGGAGGAGCGCGTGAAGGGGCCAGGGGGCCGGATGCATGTCGACACTTTGCTTCAAAGCAGTGTGGAGCCCACCTCTTCTTCCGGACCGCAGCCAGCGCTTACCTGTTGTTGTTACAGAAGTTCTGGCAGCTTGTGCAGTCCACAGACTCCGGCTGCGACGGCACGTAGACTCTGCCTCCCTGGAAACAACCGGAGAGAGTCAACAGTTAGTGACAGCCCTCTCCGCACCGGGACACTCGGGTCATTTGGGGGCAGGACTCACACTCGGCGGCTGGTGAGAGTGGGCGTGGTCGTGAGGGTAGTGGGCCGGCGAGCCATTCAGCAGAGTCACGCCATTGGGCAGCTTGTGGTGCAAGTGGTGGCAGGCAGGGGGCGGCAGAGAGCCACCATGTCCATATCCATTGGAGTGGCCCCCGTTGGGCAGGGTGGTGTATTCCATCATGTGACCATTCATCTCCGGGGGCTGGTACAGGTACCCGTTGGGGTCGAACTCTGTGGGGGGAAAGGGTCCGCATCAGGCTGAACAGACGATACTAAGTACAAGAGTACTTAAGACACTAAGTACAAATGGAGGCTACTGTAGAGACAAGTATACTGAACACACAAGTACTGAAGTTGGAGGATTCTGAGCACAGAAGTATTTAAGACACTGAGCAGAGCACAAATGACAAGAGGATACTGAACACACAAGTACTGAATCTGAACAAAGGATACTGAGCTCACAAGTACTGAAGCTAAACAAGTAATTCTGAACACACAAGTACTGAAGCTGAACAGATTATGCTTAATACAAAAGCACTTAAGACAGTGAGTATAAATGAACAGGGGATACTGAACACACAAGTACTAAGAATGAACGATGGGTACTAAACACATAAGTATAAAGCTGAACAAAGGATACTGAACACAAAAGTACTGAAGCAGAACAGAGGACACTGAACACTAGAGTACTTAAGACTGAGTATAAACAAACAGGGGATACTGAACACACTCACTGTGGACGGTTCTCTGTTGCCGGTTCCTCCACAGGCACATGACGATGAAGACCAGCAGGATGAAGACCATGATGGCCAGAACGCCGCCCACAATCAGGTAGAGCAGGCCCCCTGCTGGCATGGAGGCCGCCGGCAGGTACGGGCCCGACGGGGTGATGGGGTGTTCGGGGGGTGCGCCTGGGGCCTGGCGGGCTGCAGACGGGGTGGGGGAGGGAGGTCATGAACATGCTAGTCACAATGACTGGAACACAGCACTCGCTGTAGCTGGCTGGTGCTCTGCTGCCCACGTGCATCACGAGATGACAGAGCCCCACCTTTGGTCTCGCAGATCATGACGTTACTGTATTCACTCTCCCCCCCGTCGTTGAAGCACTGCATCTTGATATCATACGATGTCTCAGGCTGAAGCTGGCCAATCAGGTGCGACTCTTTGTTGCCTGAGGAGGGAAGATTAGTAGCAGCTTTGATGTGTTGGCTGGAAACCCCACCATCCCCAGAAGCATGATCGCTTTCACCTTCCACTGCTCCATCTCCCCCCCGCCCCCCCGCCCCCTCCAGACAGCTCTAGACCAAACAGGCTCCTTTTAAGGCAGCTAAATGTTTTCTCAGGACCTGCTCCAGGGCACAGGGAGAAAGAAAAAAATGCGCTAACACGCTATACCACCACACGCATGCGTTTCACACTCTCATACACGTAAACTGTGAACACCGTAGTTACACTGCACACATGTACACATCACAAATACAGATTAAACACACATGTACTCCAAACACTGCCCCTAGGCAGATATGAACTGTTCTCCAGAATCATGCTCCCTCACTCCACAAACTCACCCCACAAATGACCCCTCTCACCACACGAATACACTCCCCTCACACGCGCCACACTCGGTCTCACTACCCGAACACACACTCACACTCGAACACACCTAAATACTGCATGAATCTCACGCACCGCAAAGACACACTTAGTCGCTCACAGCAGACAGCCAGTGTACACAGAGCAGTGAAAGCTGCAGAACGGTGACATCCACAGAGAGGCACAGTGAACGGGGACAGGAGGGGGGAGAGCCGGGCGAGGGGGGCGGGGGGGTGGTCATCAGCCCTTATGCCAGACTTTTCTCCCAGGATCAGCTTTCACCGTTAGCATTCCTGACGGAAACTGGAGCCCCCTCAGCCAGCTCGTTCTGGGATTGGCCCCCAGGCTTTTATTAAGGACATTTTATGCTGCTTCGTTACACCAGGGCCGGGCTTCCTGTACATCGAGCAACCGCCCCGCCCCCGCCACCCCCCCGGCATGCGGGCGAGGGCCCCGGCTCAGATTACCACCGGCAGATACACGGCCCGGCCACACCACACGGGGGAGCCTCACCTTCCACCACCTCCCGCTTGTAATCGCTGTCGTTATCGCTGTCCGTCGGCCGGTAGTAGATGTAGAAGCCCTGGATGGGGGTGTTGTTGTTGCTGGAGGGGGTGTACTAGGCAGAGACAGGAGCAAGGACCACTTAGGAGTGAGGGTTGTGTCACATTGAGAGGAGTTGGCCCAATGTAGCTAGCTGGCTTTAATTTAAATAAGTTGAATTCTGGCAGTACATTGACAACCAAAGGCTGCTTCTCTGTCTCAATGAAGGTTATGATTCCTGACAAGCAGACAACAGATTCTGAGTCAATCCCTTATTTTTCAGGCTCCCTCTGAGCTCTAGTCTAAAAATACTTCCACGCCAGGCCGCCTCCACCCAGAACGGGCCTCCTCATTTTCCAAGAGCGCCACTCGAGTCTCCGAAGGCTGTAGACTCGGGCCGGCTCCTCGTTTGTCAGGCAGAAAGCCAGACAGCTACAACGCTTCTCACTGACACCTGTTAAAAACCGAACGAGGAATCCCAAAGCCTAGCCTGCAGCTGTTGACATCGCCCCCTAGGGGTCGGGTGCTAGCGTTACACTCACTGTCCAGCGTAGCATGATCTGCGTGTCACTGATGGCATCCGTGGAAGAGATGTGGGGGCCAGCCACCGGGCGCACAGTTAACGGCGGGCTGGCCGAAGACACCTGGTATGGCCTGGAGGGGGCACTGTGGGGACTTTCGCCGTACATATTCAGGGCGACGACGCGGAAGCGGTAAGAGGAGCCTGCGGTTGAAGAGACAGACACGTTAGCGTCACAGGCCAAGGTGAGGCCTTCATGCAAAGGCAGCTGGGAGAATTTTAAAAAGCCCACCCGGCTCTAGGTCTGGAACCTCCACCGACAGCTTGAGCGGGGAGATGTTGTCAGCCGCCACCAGCCAAGTGGCACCGCGGTTCTGCTGTCGGTACTCCACGCGGAACGCCGTGATGGGTGAGCCCCCATTGGCCCTGGGGATCCACGTCACGTAGACGGAACTCTCCGTCGCCATGGAGATGGTGGGCCGATCCGGGGCCTCGGGGACTGGAGACGAGAACAGGAACAAAGGGGACTCAGATACTGTCTCAGAGGGCCAGACAGTCCATCACTGATGGGCATTTTTTTAAACGACTTGGCACAACAGGATGTCTGAAGTGAACGACTTATGAGTGACTGTGATGGAGTAAGAGCCCTCAGAACTACTGCACTCAACCAGAAACTTCCATTAGGCTGCAACGACTGAAAGCCCCACCTGCTGCAGTGGACGTGATCCATCCATCACGGGGGGGCGGCTTTTATCTACGGGCTCACTCTAGAATAATACGGGAGACCCTGACAGAAGATGCATTTCACCGGGATGTGAACGATCGCGTGTGAGCAAAGTTCTGTGCAAGATGGGTAAACAAAGACGTCATATGCTGCACCCGCAAGCCACGGGAAAAGAGTCCTACTTACCGCATGGGCTGCGAGCCACAGAAGATGAGGCAGGGGAGAGTGACAGGAGAGAGCTGGGGTTAGTTAGACAGCAGGGGAAGCAGGCAGACCCCAAGGAGCATGCAAACGTGCGTGAACGCACACACACACATGCACACACACGCGCACATTTGTAATTATATCTTTGTGGGGACTCTCCTTTCACTTCTATGGTCAAAACCCTAATCCCAACAATAACGACCTTAACCCCTACCCAGCCCTAACTTTAACCATAAGTAACCAAAAGTACAAGACTTTTGGCATTTTTAGTTTTTTGATTGAATTCAGAGATCTTTGTGGGGACCCAAAAAATGGTCCCCACAATGTCAAGAAACAAAGTAATATAGACCTAACCCACAAACACACACACACACAAGCAATGCATGTTCTTATCTCCAGACCAGTGGCTCTCCGCAGTGGCAGAAAAAAGAAAAGTGACCCATCGTTTAACTCGGCAGCATAATCGACAGAGACTGAGCGACTGTAACCGATCCGGCTGAGGGCTCAGCTGCACCAGTTCTGTATCTGTTCCTGTTCCGCATCGCCGACGGGATGGGGGTGTAATGTGGGCCCAGTCGCCGCACCTCAAACGCGAGAAAATCAGGGTGTAGCAGGAGGTCCGTGTTCAGCCACCGGCACCAAAGACACGCCACATTCCTGTCACGCTTGCGTTGGAGTCCGAAGTGGATCTCGGGACTAAAGTGGCGAAGCTCCTTTTTCAGCCCCCCCCCAACCCCCGACAGCTACCTGGCTGGCCTTACCCCTGTCGTGCATCACCACCCCGAAGTGTGTGCTGGAGCTGTCACGCTCCTGGGACTTCTCAGGCACAGCCAGGAAGGGCACCTTCGAGGGACTCTTGCTGGAGGGGGCGTTCCGTTCTGGGGGCGGGGGGG